AATTTGCTAAAATGCACCTTCCGCCAATGTTCTCGTGAAACTAGCTGGTCATCTAGAGCAACATTTCAGCTAATAAACGCTGTAAAAATGAACCATCTACCTTTCACCATGTCTGAGTGGGAATATTAGTGGTAGTCCGAATATTATCAAGCTACCATTTGGCATGGCTTTTTTTAGATTGCCAAAAATCCCTTTTCGCCGATATTCTAAAGCTACCACCTAGTTGGTAAGTCAATGTTTCCTCTAATAAACATTGTTAAAACCAACCTTGAAAATATTACCAGTTCTGAGTCATTAATTTTTGAACAAACACGAGTAGGTACGTGCAGGTGTTTACCCAGGTGTTCAAAATTCAAAAATTCGGCAAAAATTGCTCAAAGTCGATAAGGTAATGAAACTTTCTGGTTAGAAAGAGGTGTATTTTATCTACTAAACGGTACAAGAGTCTAATGTCTATCTCGAGCGATTTATGCGTAATCAATTTTTGAGCAAATATTGGCGGTCCAGGAAGAAATTGGCAAGATTTAATTCCAAAATTCACCAAAAATGTAATTCGTCCGAAATTCTAATCAAACTTTCTGATGACACAGAGCCACATTTTATCTACAAAACAGCGAAACGATCAACCTTCTATCTCGTAGCAATTCTGGGTAATTAATTTTTGTTCAATGATCGGCGCACAAGTCCCAAATTGACACGATGAGACTGGAAAATTTGCCAAAAATGCTTATTGGCTGACACTGTAATGCAACTTACTTTGTAATATAAAGTGATATTTTTCAAACAATTGTGTAAAATCCAATGTTTATACATATGTCTAAATAATCATTTTTTTTGCCAACTCCGGCGGTCAGGTGGAAAATTCTCTTTGCTTCACAAAATGAACAAAAAATTAATTTCGGCCAATTTGCTAAAGCAACTTCGTGATAACAAAGGGAATTATTTTTTGTATAAAATAATACAAAAGCAGCCTTCTGTCTGATACCAGTTCTGAGTAATTCATTTTGCGGCAAATATTGGCGGATGGACAGAGTCGGAGATCAATTGGAAAGTTTCCACTCAAAAATTGCCCAAAAATTAATTTTCACTAATATTTCAAAGCAATTTCCTGACAATATAGAGCGAAATTCGAGCTAATAAATAATGAAAAAATCAGGTTTGCATCTAGGACCAGTTCCGAGTTGTTAATTTTGCCGCAAACATCGGCGGTTAAACCGAGAAGCCATTTGGCAAGGTTTCATTAAAAAAATCACCAAAAATTCCATTCGTTTGACATTCAATCGCAACTTTCTCGCAACGTAAAGTAGCATTTTCCCCAGCAATCTGCATAAAAATCCGCCTTCTAGAACCAACATTTTCAGAGTAATTGGAAAATCGCATTTGACGATCGAAAATTTACAATCTTGGACTTTATTTTGTTCTGTTCCATGCGCTGGGTCATGAAAGGCCGATGAAAACAAGTCAACGATTCCCATTCAAGTTCTCAGTTATTGCCAATTGCAGACAAGCACGTTTCCTCTAGTTCAAACCGTGGGAACGTGGCTTAGCACGCGTTTAAACTACTTTGTGAAGCCGCAGAATAGGAAACGACAACGATAAATGTGGAACGTTTTTGTGGCCACTCAGCCATTCTGGGTGGGTCAATGACGAAACAAAATCGATTAGTGGGAAACTCGACGAACCAGCAAAGATCTGGAGGATTCGATAATCGATTTAAAAGGTTGCAAAAAACAACCCGATTTTAACACCAAATGCCTGATTCATTCAGTCGCAGGACTTTGGGAGCTTTTCAGACCGAAACCTCGCAGTAGCCTTTACGACTATTGCATGAAGACTTACCTGGCCGCTAGTGTTCACGCCATTCGCCACCTTTTGCTTATACAATATTTCAAGAAAACAGATGACGATGTTATCGGGCAATTAATTATACGCCAATAGCCACTCGATTCGCCATGCACATAACGAAAAAGACTACCAGTTGCCAGCATTTAAGATTACATTGCACTGTTAATCAAACACTGTATGTGCGTTTTCACTACTGCAACATGAAAGATTCTTTTCGAATCGTTCGGCTGCCAGATACGTGCTTAATATGACCACTGTGTCCTTTTATGGCATGAGCCTCGAGTGAAAGATGGTGTCTTTCGATGTGTGTCGACTGATTTTAGATTGGCGCCTTTAATGATCACTTTTGCAAGTTGTTTCTTCAATTGCAATCTTCCGAGCAATTTGGTTGGGTTCGCAGATGTGTTTATTGTTGAAAACCTTTTTGTTGCTAAGTTGAAGTGTCTCCAGTCTGGGCCTCCACATGCCGCAACTTAAGTAGAGAATAAATGATAAAATGTTTGAAATGGCAAGAAACACCTCAGCATAGACAACCTAGCTTAGATCTCGTGATTTAGAACTGGAGCACTTGATCGATTATGTATCAATAAGCTTTCCGCATGATTTGCAGGATAATTGAACACTCGATTAAAATTTTATGCATGAAAGTCAAGCCACTTAAACGCTTCAATGATGTTGATGGTCCTCTAATCAACATTAGTTTGTTGGCAATGATATGGAGATGGAATTAATACTTGTTAGAATGATTCGAGCCATTCATCAGTCTCGGAGGAATCAATGGGGCAAATCAGGAAGTCGTCCCCAAAAAACTGAATGAAAGAGAGGTAAATTGGAAATAAATGAGTCGATGTAGAACGCGGTTCTTCCATTACCCGCCCAGATTTTTCGAAAAGGTTCATTTCGAAGCACGAACCGATTTAGTAGTTTTTTAATAGGCAACACGTGCTTCACGACAGATGAAATAACACGTTCCCACGGTCAAAAGGAAACGGTCTCGCGCTGGAAACAAACCGACAAATGCCGGTGGCTTTTGCATAATTATCGCCGATTTGAATAAAACATTTATCGGCCAAGTCTCAAAATACTGATTTCAGCTTCCCACTTTTTTGCGTTTCCTTTGGAATTCCGACAAAATCACTTTCGGAGTGGGCACAGGAAAGACCTGTGAGAACTTGATAAATTCACTTGGAAATCGCCGCATTACACAACACTGTCGAGTTAATTTTATGCACTTGAAATTGATTAAACTAATTAATATGTTAATGTCTTTATATAAGCGCCTTGGCACGTCATGAGGAGTAAATCAATTAATGCGTTGATTAATAAACCTACTTTTGCCAATTCTTCCAGGCCGAAGGCAAAATAGAGCTTAAAAGGAAATTGTTGCGTTTGGGTTTGTTGAAGATGATTGCACAGCAACAAGTGAAAAAGACAGCAATTTTTAAAGTTCTTATGAGCAAAGCCAATGCATTTTTCAATTGAAGAATGAGAGATGGTTTTAAAAATTGGGCAAAATCAGAGTAAAATGGATACAGTGGGTCCAGAAGTGATGCTTAAATGTCTTTAAAATTCAGCGGACCGGTTAAAAAAAAATCCAAATTTGTTTATATCGGGTGGTCCTAAAGTGGGTGGTCCTAAATCATTTTTTCTAAGTTTCTGTAGTCCTGAAAAGGGCCGATTATTTCAAGAAACAGAAGAACGACAAGCTTAGTCTGTCTACAAAAGCTTTCGATTTCAGATAATTTCAAACAAAAAATCTATCGGAATTAAATCAGGCGATCGAGGAGGCCATCTAGATCATCGGTTAGGGACATGTTTTATCTAAAAATTTTGCAGGAAAATCAGGAGTCTGGTGCTTATGGTTTTGGGAATAACGACACCAACGCTGGAATTAGTTCGAGTTCGAAAAATTCTATGTATATTTGTCTAGGTAAGGAAAAACCGTCCACAATCGACAATTTTTCGGTTTACTGTTTTTTACCAAATTATTATCTAGATTGTAGATATTTTGATCGCAAAACTGTTTTGGCCCGCCGAAATCATCTTCAAATTACTCTTACACTTTGATAAACTTGGGCTTCCGAACTATTCGGTGAACAACCGAATTGGCCCCAAACTGCGAAGGGAAGAAGAAGGAAGTGAAGCTTTTCATTTCGATTTCATAATCTATTTTTTATAGGATTTTAGGCGATTGTGTCGTTTGAGTCCCTCTGGATTAGTTTTTTTTTTTTTAAGAACACTTCAAATTAGGCACTTTTAGCATAAAAAAATCCTGGATGGTCTATTAATTAGGCCGAAAAACGCTCACAAAGTTTAAGGAAAATCACAATTTTCAGATTAGATTTCGAATTGTGTAGCCAAACGGCGCGTTTTAAGTTAATGAAAATTGCTTCCTTGGCTACTTAGTTAGCAGGCAGATTTATTCAATTTGGGTCCGTTTAGATTGTTTAGATCTTCAGGTTCTTAATTTTTGTATATTTTTTGGTTTATATAAAAAATCACTTTTCTCTTTCAAAATTAACCGAAAGCAGAATTCCCGAAAAAGATAAATAATCTCTCATACAAATGAGCGACGATAGCAAAGATGCGAACAATTATTATGCTCCTGAGCACCAATTTGGCATGTAGAGTCATGAATGGTTGATACCTAAAACACGATTTAGCAGCAAATAGCACCGGACAACCTCATTTTCGTCCATAGTGGTTTTGGACAAGCGAATTTCAAGTGTTTTTCGGCCTAATTCACCAGGATTTTTTTGGCGTTCAGCTGAATTTGAAGTGTGCTTTAAGGTAAAAAGAAGAAAAATTCTCAAACGACACGATTACCCAACATTTGTTCGACGCCAGTCTAATCTTGCGCCCGATTGCTTATCCATAAGCGCCCCACCCTCAACAGTACCATCCTGTCCCACGCTGCAATTTATCGGTACCACCACAGATTGAGAGAACCTCCCACAGATGGCTCTACCAGTTCCGTTTAAAATAGGCTTCGGCACCAATCGTTGGCGCTAATTGATTATTTCGGGGTTTTCCATTAGTTCAACACTGTTAATTGGCAATTATTTAGACGGTAGCCGTTCATTCTATGAGCCTTAATTGGCAGTAAACTGAGCAAATAGATGCCAAGCTAGCAGTTGGGAAAGAAAACAGTCCAATAGGATTCAACAGTCATATTTTATTATCAAAAGTAATGCAAAACATCAAAAATTCCACACGTGTATCACAGTCAAGCGCTCGCAATACATTTTCATGCCATTGCGAAAAAATGCGTGTTTTGGCACATTTTTCGCAAAATCACAGGTACCAACTCTAGGTAGGCATATCACAATGGTATTAAACAAGAAAACAGTTATGTCATAACAAATAAAAGAATCTACATTTCCTTACGAACTAGGTTTAAAGCTTTCGACACTCCCGAAGGAGATGCATGTTTCTTAGAACTAGGGAATTGAGCAAACGTATAATGTATACCTATCGATCAGAGAGTCGTACTTTAGCGAAGTTTTGCTCGGGCAAAACCTGAAAAATAACAACAAATCGAAGTCAGTCAATGGCAATTACCAGGGCCGCCACATTTTCTCTTCTTGGAGCGCCACTTTCAACAGCCCAGTGGTGGTACAGTCGATCGGCTGGACTGGCGACGGAGTGTGTCTGGAGGAGCTCGTCGAAGAGGCGGGAGTTAGAGGCAAAGCGTACGATGCGGTGGAGCTGCTAGCAGCCTCCAAGCTTGGAGAACCGGGAGGAGTGTAGGGGCTGGGCACATTGATCACTAGAGGCGACACTTTATCCATTTCGTTGAGCCGATGGCCCAGATGGGTCATGAGTTTGGTGCCCAAATGCACATCAACTCCCGGCGTGCCAGCCAGACATCTGGAAACTTCGTTGGCGCAGTGCGTGTATCCAGCGCGGAACCGGTCTGCATCGACCACAGGGTTGTAGCTGAGGCGCTGCTGGCGCCTGAGCTTGTGAAGGTGGCGCACTGTCAGCTCCAGAATATCGGCCTTCTCCAACTTGGACACATTTTCACCCTCACTTTGCAGAGCGGTCACCATCAGCTCCTTCAGCTCGTCCAAACACCGGTTGATGCGAGCTCGCCTCTTTCGCTCCAGCATCGGTTTCATCACCTTCCGGTACTGGTAGGTTCTGGAGATGGGCTGCGGGTCTTCCACAGCTGTCGACATCATGCTTTCCACGGTCGGCACTGAATTGATCAAGTTGTATGCGCGATCGGAACAGGCTCGGCGCTGAGCAAAAGTGGTACTGCGAGCAGCGCGAGAACGGGAGGCGGAATGAGGCGAGCGGTGCGCTGGCAGCCCCTTTTATAGGAGCCTCAGGTGGGCAGTGATGACGATGTGTCGTTGCTTTTGATCGTGGGAAACGCGGGAGCTTGATCTTTCCCACACTTCGGCCACCTGTGGCAAAGTTAGCGCGTGCAGCTGCCCTGTCGCTATCCTTGCACAGCCCGTCTCTGTTCAGCGCACGCCACGGATTAGACAGGATCGGAATTTTTTCCGACACGAGTTTGGCGGACAACCGACGGACGATCGCCTAATGAATAGAGTCAAGCACTTGTTTCGCTTTCAACTTATTCAGGCCATATTGATTCGGGGCTTGCAACTGGGGGCTATGAGGGGCTGCATTAGTGGTCAATCTGCAGTCCGACGCTTTGGTCCCCTGCTTTTTGATTGAATTGATTGAATTTTCACTAGAATGCCCCGAAACATGCTGGAAGAACCTTTTAACTTTTAACACGAACAATTTTCTGGGTAGAATTAACGCGAGAACAAACAATATTCCTCTGTCTAAAATTGCCCAAGAAGTATGTAGAAAATGACCATAAAAAATGACTTAGTTAACACTAAGGAAACAACCACTTTCTGGCCAAATTGTGGCGTGCTGTTTCGTGTTTTTAAGAAGTTTGATCTTTTGACTGGCAAATCAATAAATCTTGTTAGCACTAACAAATGTGTGGAAGTTGCAATTGTACCAAACGTCTACGGGAAATGTTATAAATATAAATGCCCTATACAGGGGCGGATCCAGCTTTAAATTCAGGGGGGGTTATGTAGAAAAATACAATTATCGTCGTTTTGTGCAAGGGTGGCGTAAGATTATTGCAAAATTTCATGTTTTCCGTCCCGTTTTGCATGTTTCTCGGAAGCGAAATGGGCAAGAACGCTCGTTTTTACATCATTCCAAAGAGAACTAAATGGCCTTTTTAGAAAGTGAACCATCGATAAGGAAAATGCTTGAATTCAAGAAGTTTTAGATTTGCGTGGTTT